AAATGGAGAATACATAGCTTATACATAAAGATGAGCCATCATCTTCCTTCTATGGCCTCCCTCTCAAGCGACAGCTTGATACAAGGCCGCAAGATGCTCTTCTCCTCTCTAACTCTATAGATATTCTCTCCCCCTTTGTGGTAGCTTAAGATCTCTTCTCCCTTTCCTCTCCTAAGCCTCACACCCTTAAGATTTCTTCCCTTGCTCTCCTAAGCCTCACACCTTCTCTATTGATAGAAGCAAGAGAGTGGTAGGTGGGAGGTAGGTGAGCGGTAGGTGGGAGGTAGGTGAACGGTAGGTGAGAATTGGTAGGTGAGCGGTACCACATTACAAAAGTGCCCTTTTACTTTAGTTCATTAATTGGGGGTCAAAATAACACTTATTTTCCTCATTAGATATATCCAAGTAATACAAGAAAAACAATCAATGAACATCACAAAATATTTATAATCATTCATCGAAGTTGTAGAACAAAATCCCCATACATTTGAATGCAACAAATCAAAGACACAAAGACTTTTTGTTAGAACTCACATAAGAGCTCCTGGCGTGCTTACCAAACTCACAAGCATCACACACAAGTGTTTGTTTATTTACCTTTTCATAGATAGATGGATACAAACAACTCAGTAGACTAAATGAAGAGTTTCACATGCATCTGTGAAGTAGAGGCATCACATCCTCCACACTCATTCTAGATCTTCCTTCTCTGGCACTCTCTACCACAGATGTCAGATCTGGGTCTGTTCCCTCTCTATCCGAGCACCTGAGTCCATTATGCCACGTGACAATCCTATTCTCTTGAAAGATCACCTTAGGAATATCAAATGAAACACATTTTAATTGAAGAACAATGACACTTATGGATAAAAGACTCGCTGGAAAGGAAAGAGCGTGCAAAATATTGAACAAAGTCATAAACTCGGTACCTCTCACTGTTCTCTTACCAAACACAGGTTGTGGTGTACCTTCAGCAGTCTGCATGTTCTCTGAAACTACTAGAAGAGTATAGGAAGAGAACTTCATGGCGTTACCTGGCACATGTTGAGATGCACCAAAATCTACTATCCATCGTGGTATTCTTGTGGTGGATATAGAGGCAACAACATGTGTATCACAAGTATCTTTGACTTAGTGAGCATAAATAACATTGTTGACCTTGAATGACGATAAGATGGATGCATCATCACTCATATCACCTGTCGCTTTATGCTTCCTCTTCAACATCTTAAGGAGGTCGTGATCCTTATCGGTAAAGATCACCCTTATCTCTCCCTTGGCCTCCACTACCATCAAATTTGCTTGATAACCCCCTCTCCCACCTCGTTGGCCTCCACAATTACGACCATGACCTATTCATTGTCCACATCCACTTGTCTCTCTCTCCTTGGGTGGATTTAGACAAGCCTTGCTTAGTGTCCCACTTCTTCACAATTGTAGCACCTACGAGTCTCCCTCTGAGTACCTATCATACCTAACTCAACCTTGACTCCCGTCATATAGTCTCTTCACAACTAAGGTGGTCTCAATCCGACGTCGATCAACTCAGATATATGGTAGATCCATCAACTTCAGATCTACACGAGGGAGACCTAACTTCACTTTTGTGAAATCAGTTATTAAGTAGATCCATCAACTTCAGATCTAGAGACCTAACTTCACTTTTGTGAAATCAGTTATTAAGATAGTAGTTTCTATCGAGACTTCAGCTTTCTGTATAATCCGACCAAGAGCTTCAGAATTTGAGGACCTGTCTTTCCCAAAAATTCCACTCATTAACGTCTCACACTATTTCCGTCTCCTGTGATCCTCAATCACAAAGTTGCACCTCTGTTTGAAGAAACCTTTTGTCGATTCGAAGTCCTTCGCTTCAGTCTCTGCCATTCATACAGAAGCTGCTTCTCTGGCTTCACAGCCGGAGCAGGATCTCGACACAGAAAAAACCTTCGCCTATTCCTCACCACCCTAGCCTCTTACCCCCAATGTCTCCTCTTCCTCGTCTCGCAAATCCAGCCGCGGAGGACTCCCAAAATCATCGCTCCTTCTCTTGTTTCACAGCAAGTTCTAGATCGCGCACCCAGAGAACTCCTGTTCCTCGCCGCGTTCTTGTCGGTGCCTTCCCTGTTAACTTCGCGGCCTCCCTCGCGCGATCCCCCGCTCTAGTCGCATCCCGAAGTGGCCGCATCTTGGCGATTCCGTAGCTCTAGTCATGGCCCGAGTCGCGATCTCGTGGCTCTAGTCGCGACCCAAAGTGGTTGCTTCGTTTAGCTACACGAGGACGAAGAGGAAGGAAGAGAAGTGCGGCTCGATTAAGCTCTGATACAAAAAGAGTAATTGTTCTTGAAAATCTTGTTCTCAAATAACTCCCTGGACTTCTTCTATATTTTTTATTTATAATTATGACTCTAAACTAGATACAAATCTCAACAGAAGGATTGTTGGGAGAAATTTGGTTTGCATTTACTGCACACTGAAGGCCTCTAAATGGGCAATATAGTAAGGTTAGATCTAATCCGCTCCTAAACAAATTTTATAGGAGGGAATTTGTTTCTACTGGTAATAAATTAGATAACTTCAAACTATAATACATATTTTATCTTAAACTTAAATGTAAAAAACAATGAAGCTTATCTAAATAATTTAATCTTCAAATTCATTTTTATCCACGTATATTATGAATTTTAATCTGATTGTCTAACTTTTGGTGGACTTGATTCCCTTGCAAGATATTTAATTAACCGTCCAATTACACCTATGCATATCTGACAACATCCTTTTGACCTCAACGGTGTGATATGAGAATAATCATCATCATTAATTTAGTAAGAAATTTGATTGCCGAAAATCAACTCTTGCTTCACAGTTTGATGCCCAAAATAGTTACGGATACTTTATAGTAGTCTTGGTTAGATTGACCATCTTCTTCATAATCTCATTACCATGTCATGGCTTATCCTTCTAATATTTTATTCTTGTTAAATTAAAACTCTAGATGCAGAGAAATTACATGCTCAACTTCTCTACTGTACATTTAGCTTTGTTGTTAATTGTCATTTTTTGCCAGTGTTGAGTGCTTCGTTGCACTCATGTCTTGCGGTGGTAATCTTTAGCTTGAGATGAATATCTAATTCTAAATGTATTTCCTGCTCTAAGAATATATCATTCCATAATAGCAAGGATTTCTTCTGACTCACCATCAAGCCCGGAAAGTTTGAAGGGTTGATTTCTCCGCATTTACTATTGAATATCTCCGTGTATGGTAGCAATTCCATGTGACAAGCATTCTCTCCAATCTTCATGAGTATATTAGAATTTGCGACTTAGGTTACAGTGCCTAGAAGCTGAGCACTGGAGGAACTTCTTCTGGAGAAGAGTAAAGAAGGAAAATGAAGGATTTTTTGGGAGGGTTTCCATTGGATTTACTGCAGATTTTTTACCGTTAAATAGTCATGCAACAGATTAAGCTAATCACTCCGAAACATGCTTTTAAAAAAAGGAGGGTAACTTAACTACTGATAACAAATCAGATAATTTCAAACTACTAGTTTTTTTAACAAATTGTGCCCTAATTCTGAATTTTAAAAAAAAATTCTTTTTCAAGCAAGTTTAAAATTTTAATTTCATATTGATTTTAACATAATTTGAGTTTTAATGTAGCGATCAAGCTTTTAAAGTTTTGATCTCCCTCACATGTTGTTGGATTAATGACCTGGTCACGCCTATGGATTACTGTTGACATTCTCGCTAGTCTTAGTGGTTTGATGTGATAATTACCATTGTCAACATTCTTTACTAATTGATTTCACAATAGAGTGTCACATTACACATGAATGATCTCTTGGATAGACTGAATAGTATTTAAAAAACATGTGTTGAAAGCAATAATCTTTATTGAATCTATCATTTGATTAGATATATTTAAAAAACATTGATTTCAAATTTCACAAACCTTCTCAAAATTCTCAAATGTAATTATTTCATTTTTCGATGAATACATTCATTTATCATTTTGTATATGTTTTATCTTTGCAAGCCATCAAACAGCCCTAAGAACCATTTGGTGAATTGTTTAGAAAAATGTTGAAATGGAATGGTCTCAGGTGGTGAGCTATTCAAACGGAAAAAAAGTGAAAACCATGATAAACTAGAGCAAAGAGGATGATGTTTGGGAGATAAGCTGGCTGATACACTAAAGCAAATCACATTAGCTCGTTATTCTCCTTAATATCATATTTAAGTTTACTATGTTCAAGGAAAAATACTTTCTTAACCTTTGATGAGGATTACAATCTTCTTGATTTACTTATTGGTCTATCACTCCTTTGAAAATCAGCTGCATGGTGTTTTGCATAAGTAACAGACATAGTTTATCAGGGAAAGAATAGCATGAGTAGGATTTACTCCATTTGTTTGCAGCTTAACATAACTAAAGCTTTCTTTGTGTTTACTTGCATCATAATTACTTCACATAAAATCTTCTTATTGTAAAGAAAAGCTTTTACTGTTGTTAACGTGCTCTAGTGTTTCCCAGCTGCTTGCATGACATGGGATCTTGCAGATTCTGGACAGGACTTCATCACCACTATTATTAATGGTTCTGATATCGTGCCAACATTTTCGCTTGTTTCTGCTGACAACCTTCGACTTGAGGTGAACTACAATTATGTGAAGTTGTACATTAAAGTTTCAGGCTTCAATTATATGAATGAACAATTAGGAGAACGTCCTCATGCATGGGTGCTCTATATAGATGGCAGTTTATATTTGACACATGAAATAAAGCAATTTGATGCATTCAGCATGAAATTTTTTAATTGACATATCAATCTTAACCAATTCTTGCTATGTTTGTCATCAACTCCGATTTCTCTATCCATAGGTCCTTTCAACAATGAATTGTGCTCCTCAACATGCTTGAAAATTCATGTTTTGATTTCTTCTTTGTTTTGTTTGCTCCCCTTCATTTGATACTCTTTAGACTTCATATTTCAAATCTTCATAAATTTAGCTCTTCATTCTCTTCTAAACTAGTTTATAAATATCTCTGTGTCTACTATTTTCGTATTGGTACAGATGTAAAGCCAATGTTCATTTTTATATGTTTGTAGTGATGCTTTTCTTATTAGAAAATGTATGCTATTTAGCTCGCTCTAAGCTTCATGTTCCATTTGTCCTGTTCTTTTCAATCAAATAGTTTTTGCTTAGCCCATGTTTTTCGACCTTTCTTAATATGCTTTATGTTTTGGAGATATCAACAAACTTTGTTTCTGCATTTTTGTGCATTTTTTTAGCTGGACCATTCTTAATATGCTTTATGTTTTGTAGATGTCAACAAACTTTGTTTCTGCATTTTTGCAATTTTTGCTATGCACATAATTTAGTTACCATTTCACAGTGTTTAGGTAGAATTTTTAATGCATGGTAAAAGATGATTCTTTTATACTCTAATATTGATAAGGTTGAAAAAATTATGTCATAGATGCTGGATGATTCACAAGGTGTCTGCTCGCGTATTAATTACCCTGAAATTTTCAATATTGGGTTAACATTAAATGAAATATATTATCATATTCTTGAGATTGTTGATATTAGCCTTCTCCAAGTGCAAGCCTAAGATCAAGTTTACTCGTTTGTTTTTTATTAGAATGTTTAGTCTTTATGCAAAGGAGATTGGTTGATCCTTATGAATATAGTATATTTCTGTTGGCCTGGTGTTGAAATTTTCTTATGGTCTAGGATTCGTTAATGCAACTAAATGATAAAATATATAAAATATTTAATCAACTTTGAAATTCACAATTCTAATGATCATCAATTAAAATAACAACTTAATTTCTTTTGATGAACAGTTGAAAGTATGAGAAATCTAAGCTAGACATTAATCAAATAATCATTTAAATTAACGAAAGTAACATAAAATTTAAAGCTGCAAAAAATCACAAGTTACTTGGAATGTGATTAATATTTTAGAAACTCGGTTATAAGCTCGCACTAGTTACAGGGAGATGACTTTCCTCGAAAATTTATGGTCGCAATTGTATTGCATTCAAAGAACTTAGCATCCAACAAGCATCCAAAAGGTTTTTTAGGTGAGAATTCCTGCAAGCACTCATTTTTCTTTAAACAAAATTTGACTTAGGTAAGAATTCCAGTAAGCACATGTTCAAGCATACATGCCTCAAGTTGTTTTATGTATGAACATTAAATCATTGTACGGTCAATAGCTTATTTATAGATTACCCCACAAGCAGCCATACGTTAGGTTCATTATCTAGGACAAAGCAGACATACTCAAGAAGTAATGTATTCAAAGCACTTAGATTAATGCAATGCATGAGTTCCTTTTTTCTTTTTTTTTTTTTTTTGCTTCAATGCACAATGTAATATGATGTTTTTACTGACTGAAGTGCTCATAATTTATAAGCCAAATGTAAATATATGAGGGGCACACATTGATCATTTAATTACACAAAGTTAAACTATATAACATAATAATTTTATTCCTCAAACTATAAAATACTCAAGAAGTTAAACTATACATGAGGGGCACACATTGATCATTCAACGCTCCCCGTCTCATTCCTCTTTAATATAACCAATTGATGGCTAGCGCTTTATTGGAGGATTTTGTAGACTCAATTATTATATACGATATATATGAAGACATCTTTGTGAGGCATAATCTCTGCTTGATAATATCTATGGGTTTTCTTCTTTGTTCTTCGTGCATGAATATACACTGAATTGTTAATGAGTTAGTGAATGTTCTTATTTTGTACACCACAATTGTGATTTTAAGGTTTTCTTATGTATTAGATCCTCTCTTCTTTCGCATGGACATATATTTGGCAGAAGGCTAGGCACATATATCTTTTTGTTTTGTTCATTACAACTTGTACCCGTTAATGCTTATGTACCATTTATAGTTTGCATCACCTGAATTTAAGTTTGCTCGTTTTTTTTTTTTACTTTCTGATCCATAAACATGTTTTATATTCTTACACTCAAGCACTTTTTGTTTGTCTTCCATCATTTTACTCATGGGATCAATTTATTTAATATTTCCCACCATCAGGTGGCAGCTTCCTCGTGGCTAAGTGACCTGTGTGATCAATTCCATCAGCCATTTACCTCATGCGCTCAAACACTATCCAGCAAAAGCCAGGTACAACCACTTGGAATCCTCTTTGCAGCTTTAAATCTTTATTGTTAGGAAGATTTACATACATACCACTCAATTCCTATGCATTTACTTCTCTAACATCTTAACTTCAATTTTTACAGACATGCCACCTTGCCTAGGCATGTAAGAGTGTACTTCACTTTTAAAGTTAAAATAGTGGTCTTTTTGATGTAATATGAAAGATGTGGGCGGTATAAATGTAAAAATTGTAGATGTTAGATGTGTAAATATATAGGAATTGGATGGCATGTATGTAAATGCCACATTTATTTTTAATACGCAAGCCAATTCTTGGTTCCAGAACGTCTTCATAAAGGTACAGAAAGCTGCCCTGACATTTGCTAGGCGCATGGATTGTCTAGGCATTCTCTCATGCTATGAGGACAAGATCAAACATCAAGGTACAAATTTGCCAATAGTGGATATGGATTCTTCTGAGATCAAACAACACCCTGATGAATATTTTCCTGAACAAATCGATGTTGCTGGTTCCTGCAGTAATCAATACTGCAATGGAACCGAGGAAGCCACCGAAGAAGAAATTATCGAAAGAAAATTGTGGGTGGTGCTTGGGAAGGAGCTTCAGAGGCAAGAAGAAGCTGTTTCACAATCCCAGGAAGAAAATTATATGAGGGCTATGGATAAAGAAAGATCTGTATATGGAACTATTGGAAGCAAACAGCCAATTTCAGCAGAGGAGATCCATTTTTTTCCTCCAGGTAGAATTAGACATATAGTAGCAGAACAAGAATTGAATGTGAGCTCTGGTGGGAGTGTTGCAGATGAGCCGAATATTAGCATGTATGAAACTCCGAGGCATTTGTATGGTAAAATTCGCTTGTGGCCGAATATGATAAAGGATCATTACATGCCAGCGTATAAGAAGATGATTGATCTGATGATTGAGAACCTTAGGAAGAAGGAGGCAGCTGAGAAGCTGTAGAAAATTGTACATTATGTTATTTTTTGCACAGTGAAAGCTATTTGAAGGTTTTGGTTTTGAATATAGTTGAAGATTTTGTAAAAATAGTGATGATTGGTCAACCATGTGTTAGGCGAGAAAACATTAGGTCAGGATTCCAGATCATTCGGAGTCCAACAAGGAGGCGCCGCGTGTAAAGTGACCTCATCACAATACACTGTGATTGCACTTTACACGTGTCGCTCCTTTATAGGACTACGGATGCATCCGGAGTCCTGACTTAGGGTCTGTTTGGGGCAGCTTATTTAGGTGCAACAGCGTTTTGAAAATCCCGCCGCAGTGTTTGGAAGACCGTTCGCTCAGATTCTTCACCCCGCACTACGTCCCGCTTCGAACATTTTCTTAAGGGCTTCGACACAGGTGAAGACCTGCGTCCCGCATTCGGCTTGCATCGTTGCCCTAGATACCCCTGATCTCCCTCGCGCTCTCCCTCCCTGGGTCGTTGCCTGCGATCGAATTTCTTCACCCTAGAGGATCTCAGACCGTGTTCCTTTCGATTTTTCTTTCTGATTCGTAAGGTATGTTTTACCTCACCGTCATTTCGTAGAGGGATCGAACGTCGCTGGGTGTGAATGGTCGAACGCTGCTGTTCTTTGTTTTTTTTTTTTTTCCTTGACGGAGGAGAAGGGGCGAGCAGGGGCTTTCATCTTCTTCGTCCTCAACTCGAACAATGCGAATGAATCTTTATGGTTTTACGATTTTCTTAGGCGTGAAGAAAAGTGTGGAGAATGCATTTTGATTACTCCAGAAATTTGGTTTCGATTTTTTCTGTTTCCTTAAAGCTAACCCCCGAATTTTGTTTAAATTTTTGTTGGGCTTTAGAACTTTCTATGAGAGGAATCCATGTTTTCTAGGCGTGAAGAAAAGTGTGGAGAATGCATTTTGATTGCTCCAGAAATTTGGTCTCGATTTTTTCTATTTCCTTAAAGCTAACTACCGAATTTTGTTTCAATCTTTGCTGGGCTTTAGAACTTTCTATAAGAGGAATCCATGCTCTTATCTATAGTTTTATGTTAAGTATGGCAATGGTTATAGTATTGGGCAATGGTTATAGCATTAGGGCTTTATGAGCTGGTATTACTTCCTGTTTTTCAAGTTTATGAGCTGATGTTTATGGGCTGCAATTAATTGCTGTTTTTAGGAAACATAGGTATGAGCTTGGTTCATTAGAAATTAGGGAGTTAAGTACGTACAAAATGACAAAATGACACTATTTAAGTACATACAATAGGTATACACTGCTCTTGATCTGAATGAAACATTAGAACTTGTTCCATTCACCTTTACTCAAAATCTTGTTTTCTGCAAGTGAATTTTTTGGATCAATTATAACTTTGATAACTATATCGAGAGGTATAAAATTTGGTGCTAAGGCTTTCACCAATGGTTGGGAGCTGAATTTTATGATTAATTCCAATTGTTAAGTTTATTATTGTATTGTTTCTTAGCAAAGCTGCAAATTGAGATTTATGCTTCTGTACTACCAATAAGCTATTCTGAATAAGCTGCCCTAAACAGTTTTATCAGACAGGGGTATGAATGTTATTTAACCACACATAAGCTAATCTGAATAAGTTGCCCCAAATAGCAAGCCAGATTATTCTGTTAATCAGATTATAAATAATCATCAGCTGCACCAAACAGACCTTTAATATTTTCTCGTGTTATGCAAGGTTGTCAAACTAATCTTTTCATTTCTATACATTTAATAAAGTACTACGAAAGGATGAGCAGGGCCCTGAACATACCATATAGGGCTGTTAAATAAACCTCCTTTTAAGCCCATTTTTTAAACATACGTGCGCATATACACACACACACACACACACACACACACACACACACACACACACACACACACACACACACAGTGGGAG